TTATAGATCTGATAGAAGCTGCCAGGCAGATTTGAGATTTATGGCAGTGTTTATATTTATATACATCATCATCATTATTATCATGTTCGTCCCGCTACCCTCCATTTACTCCGAGTCCTTGGCTCGGTGCTCGAGGCTGAATGCTGTGAGTCCAGACTGAAGAGAATAAAACGTGAGCTGTGTAGTTTCTATCTGGGTCAGAAGATGAACAGAATCACATCAGCAAAGTCTAAACAGAAGAATATTATTTGATAGAAGAGACTCTGATGTGCACACACTGTTTTCTTTAACCTCAGGGACCCTGATTTCCCCCTTAAATGACATTTAATTTTGTTTGTTCCTCAAAATAACATTACTGCCAGACACTGATATATGAACACACTGTACTGTATCTAATATATATTTACATACTGTATTTTAATCTGATATCTGTTCACTTCACTTACAATAAAATTGTGCTACTAGCAGAAAATGTATTATAAACAATATTCATATTATGTTAACCATACAGTCAACATGTGTATTGGACATGTTTGATATTACATTGCTTAATATATGGACGTACATATGCTATACTTACAGTTTATCAACTAAAATAGTAGAAAAAATGAAAAAAATATTATCCAACATGTTTCTATTACACAGAGGTAAAGGAACCTCATGAGAAGAAGGTTTACAGATCTTCTTGCAGCTAAATGATGTTACACTGAGTGAAATTTTCAAAGCCGGTACTAAATAGGTCAATTGTCATATGCCCCTAAACAAATTTCGATTCCCCAAAACGACAAAACTTTAAATATTAAAGTATTATATATTTCACACAGGACTTGAACACCTTCCTCTGGATTAAAGGCCAGAATTTATTTGACCCGTCTATCCATCCCAACGATCTTACATAGATTTTGTCGCTTTTAATACTATTATAATATGGCCACTAGAGATAGTAGCCTAACAAATTCAAACATTTTTTAAATTACCCATTTTCTTCTTCCCAGCAAGTTTTTTTTTTTTTGCATTTGTATATTTAAAATAATCTTGTTATTTATATTGTTTGTGTTTCTTTTTACTGCTAAACAATTGCTTTAGTAATACTAGACATTCCAGTGTGTTAAAGAGACAGTCTGTGGCATGTTAAGCATCTTTACTCACAATCATATAATTATATACATAAATAAAGCAGGAAAACAACTCAATCTAGGCTGTGTTACAGACGACCCGCATGTAAAAAGTAATTAATTAGAAAAAGTTCTCTCCATAAAAAAGTACCGTATGTAAAAGCCAACATTACCTTGTTTTTTGTTTGGTTGCTGGTGGCAGCAGCAGCAGCAGAGCATGCTGGGAGAAGCAGGTCATCCAGGTGTTGTAAATCAGAGTAGTCAGACTGCAGCCTGAGGTGCGTTACAGTTAGGACAGGACGACCTTGGTGCTGCGCCAGGGGTCGGGCAGAGCCTCAGCCCAAACACGTCCACCTGGATCAGATTCAGCCCCGCAGAAGTCTGTTCACCTGAGGAGGGTCGAGGTCAGTGAGCAGGTGAAGTCTGCTGTCCAAACTGAAACTCAGCTGAGAAAGACTGCCGTGTCCCCTAGAGCTGTACGTGCTTCACAACCGTTTAGAGTCGTGACCCCCCCCCCCCCCCCCCCCCCCCAGAATAATGAGAATAAGCATTCAACATGTCTGCTTTAGGCCCGGAAGAATAGATAAAAAACATTCTCATTTTACAGAGGTAACTGTTAACATGTATAATAACAGAGTATATAGTGTTTTGAGTTCTTGTCCCCTGTGTTGAATGTCATTAAAAGGTTGGTATAGCTGAGAGCTGCTTCCTGTCTCTTTCCATGCTGCTTGCCACAATATGTTATTTTATTCTCCACAACCATCTGGTGGCCCCTGCAAATGATCTCGTACTAGTAAACTTTGTCCTGAGGCTGGTGCTCTGGGAAAGATCCTGGGGGTCACATAAATCTAAAGGGTTTGCCCTCTGGGGAACAGGAATGGGGTCAAGATGTTGTTTATTTGAATCCTCATTAGTTGTTGATTGATTCCAAAGATAGATCTGAGGGGTCACGAGGTGATCAAAGGGATATGAAACATTTACACACAATTGCACCAATATTTAATTTTTTTATTTGCTTGCGTCTAATGTTTGCTTTTTCTCGCAAATTCTGGATACTTGCACCTGTTCAGGCCTCTAAAAATAGCCAAAATGTTTGGGGATAACGGTTTCAACAAAACAAAATAACACCAACCAGCAACTTTATTTGTGTAACATGTGTTACTTATGTGTAATTGAAAGTGCGGTGTGTGCATCTTGTGAACAAGTGTACTGCATGTTGGCATTTTTAACAAGGGGGTGCACACTATCTACTCTCCTGGTGCACTCTGTGATCAGTGATCAGTGATCAACACCAGAGGATACCACTGCTTTCTGACATGCAGCTCTGTACCACCACCTGCTGGCCTGAAGTATCACTGCTGTTTTTCTTCTCCCCATGAACAAGTCACATGGTTACCTGACTTTACTGAGTTCAATCCAAATGGAATAAGTAAACACACCATCAGTTTAACAGCCAGGTAACTGCTAGCTCACTGACTGGTCATGTCATGTTGGAGTTACAAAATGCGTTCCCAATCAGAAAGATTAAAGAAATGATGGAAACCTTCACTCCACCAATCAAACATACCTTTAAACATCATCACAGGTAAAATTCATCTGTTCAGTTTATTTTTAAGGTGTCTGCATTACAGAATGTAACTTGTCCAGAGTGCTGCTGCCTGCCTCCCTAGCACCAAGAAGGTGGAACACATTACACCGGTCCTTAAATCCCTGCACTGGCTTCCTGTGTGGAAGGATCAACTTTAAAATCCTTTTACTTGTCTCTAAAGCACTACATGGTTCATTGTCTCTAAATATGTCTCTGACATACTGGACCCCCCAGGTCACCTGGGACAGGTTTACTCAGTGTTCTCAGGATCAAAACCAAGTGAGGTGAAGCAGCTTTTAGTTTCTATGCTCCCCACCTGTGGAACAAGCTTCTGTAATGCCTGAAGTCTGCTAAAACTGTCAGTTTATTTAAATTGGGGATTAAAACATTAATTTTACTGCAGCATTCCAATCATTTTAATCAGCACCAAATTATTTATTTGCATGCTTTTGTTTTTATAGTCTTTAAAAGTAATTCTAATTATTTTTTTTGTTGTTATATCTTTGAATGATGTACCACTTTACTGTAGGGGTCACAAAATGAGTACAAATGATTATGTAATTAGTAATGAATGAGTTACTAGTGTTGTGCCATTCACCAGCTAGTTCAGAGATAATCAGGATCGACACACGTCGTTTCAGATATTAACTAATCATTACCTAATGATTCCTTACTATAGGCCCCTCCAGTCTGTTAGTTACATGATTATCTAGGGGAGACCGGGGATGGTTGTAACGTGGGACAATTCTGTCCAATCAGAAACAAGTTATGAATCACCTGATTCACTCTGCACATGCTCAGTTTAGACCTATTCCACAGGGGGGAAAGTAGCACCCTGTGGCAAGCACTGCCTGCTTTGTAGTTCAACTCATTAAATCCTATTTAGTGTGTGTCTATGTAGATATCTTTCATGCAAGTTGTTAGTGCTAATGTTTTAGCAGTTAGCTGTGAGGTAACAATGAAAATGTTACAACCTTCCCAATAAAATGTTTAGTTGTATTTATATGTTTTCTTTGAATTTCAGTCTGTGTCTGACACAAACAGTAATGTTTAATTGTTTTATTATTACAGTCAAATGTTAGTGTGAGACCTGTAGGCTTCTCTGTGGGCCCGTGAGACCTGCATTACATGAGTACCATTATCTATCACCACTGAGATTGTGCACAACAAACACACAGACTACTATTCAGTTGGTGCACATTTGCACATTTTGTTAAATTGTATTATTATGTTCACTAGCATGACTGTGAGCCACCGTCACACACAGACAAATAACAATTTAAGTGTTGATGATTTCAAAATCATGTTTTTCTGCTATTCCTTATAACATGACATTTCAGCCGGTGTATGTTGATTAAACCATGCATTTTCTGTCTGTGTTGCAGAGATAACAGTTACACCATTTAATAGCAGACATGTCATCAGTTTTGAACATACTGGATTAAAACAGCTCTGAGATAGAGAAAAATGGCAAAAACCTTACAATAATCCCTGGTCATAGCTCATAGTCCCCGATTCAGAATTACTCAGGAGCTGCTTAACTTCATTAATGATCAGTTCCTTCTGGGATCGGTTCTCAGTAACTACTCACATTATAATTATTTCTTTTTTTGTTGGTTCTAGACTCTGCAACATCGCTGCTATTGCTGTTGTTCTTACAGAGATCTTTGCGTCACAATCTTAAAGGCAGTCGACAGATTTGAAAGCCCAGACGTGGGGTTGCCAGTTTTACCGAGCCCCTTCCCTCTGCCTCAAGAAAACAAAACTACTACTTCACTACATGTCTGAGAAAAATATTTATTTTATTGGACAACTGCATACAAAACGCGTTGAGTTTAAAATACGATTTATTCTTTTGGATTCATTTACTCAGCAGTTTATTGAGAAGTTAAAGTAACTATTTCAAGCAGATAAAATATTAAAATGCTGCTAACATGTTAATTAATAAATTATTGTAGTAGTAGCTACCTAGTTAGTCCATGAAGAAGGAAGAATACAAAGCTCAACAGCAGACCTATTGATGTGGAACCAGGCGTAGTAATGGGGTGGAAGCATTTGACATTTCAGAGAAGGAAACATTGGGGATAAAGGTGTGGCAATTTGCTGACTCTGTAAAACACATTCCCTGTACACTAACATTTCATTGACAACAAATCTGAAGTAACCGGTCAACTTGTCACCCAGGTAAAGTTGACGCCACAGCCAACACAGAGCCTGAGTGGTTGAGGGTGTGTTGTTTCAGGTACCGGTGAAAAGATGAAATATGATCCAGGAAGTCCAGTTTAAGAAACACATTCATGGGTTTAAAGATTTATTAGACACCAGAACACTGTGCAGCAGGTTAATCTGACACAGGATGTAACAACTCTGGAAGGTGATGACGGTGGCAATCTTTTTATCTCTTGTTGTGAAGATCAGGAGGTAAACACTTGAATACAAGGCAGAACATTTTTGTTGATCAACGGCACAGTAGTTTTTATTTGCCTGCAAACTGACTTTTGAGTATATTTTATTTTTTCACCTTCCCAGTGTGAAGACACTACATACTGGTTAGAGGCGGTGTGGAATAAACGTTTTCTCATCATGTTTATGTGAAGAAAAATACTGAAAAAGAAAAGCTATCAATTTATGACATTTTCTTTTAGGAAGAAACCTTCAAGGCAAACAACATAAATAGAAGTCACACTTGTTGTTTTTTTATAGTGCCCAACTTCATCCCCAAATCCCACACCAGGATCTGTGAAGGACTAACTCAACATATTGGGAAATGTTCATTTGCTTTATTTCTACATGAGAAGATCGATATAAATATCATGTCTGTGTGTTAACTACAGGACATGGTTAGCAGTGGGAGCCTGACTCTATCTCAACTGAAAATACACCCGCAAACACAAACAAACAAGCAGTTTGTGATTTTAGTTACATGTTGAAACTATTTTTTGAAGAACGTCCATTTTTATCCATCTGCTCAGTATGTCTGTGCAGCGTCTCTGCTGGTTGCCTAACAACATGTCTGCAGGGAGTCAGCCTCACAGCACTCGGCTGTTTTCAGAAAAGAAATAGTTCCAGCGCGGAACTGCCACTGACACCAAACCCAAAATTTTGAACCATTCATTTAAAGAGGGAGTTGACTCAGAGTCATTTCACCGCAGGCCAAACAGTAGAAAAACCCCCAAACAAAGTGAAAACTGAACTCTTCCACATTCTGCTTTTGCGTTCCTGAACAAGTAATTCCTTCAGCTCTCAGCTCGGGGCTTTGCAGCCTTGCTCAGCAGCTCCAGCACAGGCAGATCTTGAATGTGCAAGAGTTTTTAATCTGCCTCTCAGATGGACCACACTAGTCTCTCCTCTCTCTGCTCCTCGTTACTCAACACCAACCAGTGTGCTGTAGATGTGTTTCGGTAAAATCACGTATCCCTCTCCGAAAGCTGCTGGCGGCTTGCGGCCGGTCCTGGGTGTCTCTCGTGCCGCCTTCAGCCTCTTTAGCTGTCTCTCCTGCCGCCGACACTTCTGCTGCAGCGTCTTCAGCTTCTTCCTCAGACCCCCCAGCTGCTCCTCCAGCTGCTCGATGCGCTTCTTCTGCCGAGCAGAATCCTCCACTGTGTAGTTGTGGTCGCAGGAGACGGCCACCGTGTCGCCCCGGGTGTCGGGTAGGCTCCTCCCGGGCTCCTCCACCACCACCTCCTCGTCCTCCTCCTCGTCCTCCTCCTCCGCCGCCGGGTCAGTAGTCAGAGGCAAAGAGAGAGGGAAGTGGATCTCTGAGGGGAAAGGGTCCTCCAGGGACTCTGACTGTCAGACAGAAAACAGAGTTCTGACGCTGGGACATATTTAAATATCAACATGACAAATGTTAACTATACTGTTGTATTAGTATTAATTATTACACCTGGCTGTTAATAGGTCTAAATATTTAGTACCAACAAATCTCTACATAAGAACCAGTTTTTGTGGTGCAACCTATTTTGAATTAGTGATGTGGAAATCTCCACTTACATAATAAGAAAGATTGAACTTCACCTGAAACAGCTCATTCAACCAGCTCCTTAACTAAAAGTTGACAATGTCATAGTATTGTCCTTATTCCCGATCAAATGTGTGTGGACTCTGCAATGGACGGAAATGGTCCGAGCTGCTTCACCTTAATGCTGAGGTTGAAGAAGAGCGACGGCACGGCGTTCTCCTTCAGCACTCGGTTGTTGCACTCTCTCTTGAAGCAGTCTTTGGTGAAGTGCTGCGAGCAGATGTTGCTGTACTTTGTCGGCTTGAAGTTGTTCCTCCTCATCGCCGCCACCCATTTACCACAAATATCAGGACGTGCCAGGGGGAACCTGGGAAAATCAGCCAATAAGCAAAATGAGAAATACTTCAATCACCTCCGGATTTGTTCCTGCTGCAGGAATTATTTTCATCAACAGCATATTAATCAGTTCCTAGTCTGATGATCAATAATGTTTGGGTTATTTAAGTAAACTTTATGTCAAAATTCATAGCTAGGCTACAGCCTGGTCCAATCAGAAATCCTTTCCTGGCAACCATTCAAGAGGTGATCTAGTCCTACATACAGAAATCCGTTTAATAAAAAAAACAACTTTAACAGCTGATTCACCTATTAACTCTCACCTAAATGTCAGGGCATTGCCAAACCTTTTGGGGATAAAAGACAGACTGCTAAATGAAACTGAAAAGGGGAACTTCAACTGAATACCGATTGCTCTGTAACTCTGTCTTGTTAGTACACGTCTGGTTCAAGTCGTCTCACATGTCCAAACCTACAGGGGCTTCTCATGTTAACCCTGTTGCAGTACAGAAGACTTCAACACATAACTGTAACCGAACTCCAATCAGAATTAATAGAGTTTATTATTCCCGTATTTCTGCATAAAGCAAAATGTTATCGAATATAGTAACTGTCTATATGAACCAGTATTGTGTCCTGGTAAATTCGGCATATAAAAACTGTGAAACAGTGCTTAAGTTAAGTTTTTACTAACATCTAAACTGGGATGTTTGGGTGTAGCCACGTGATCTAACTTGGCTGTGTAAACTTGTTAGTAGAGGGGAACTGTGCGACTGGCGGGCGAACTTGACACAAGACCTACAATTTTTCTGAGTAAAATGGTGCTTGGTGAGTTGTCTGTGACCCGATTTTACCACTTAATTGTACCGACACAAGAAATAACGTGTGAGATTGTAACACCCCTGTACTGTTGAAGAGGAGCAAGGAAGCTTTTATAAGGCAGCTTAGTAAACGCAAGCTGGTAAACTCTCTCTTGGTACTCTTCGCCTGTACATCACAGCGCTTTTCCATCGTGTCTGGACAGCTAATGCTAACTAGCTCACGCGCAGACACAGTTTAAGTGAACTTACTTGTGAAAGGAAATGTTTTTGTCTTTGTGGTAGCGGTTCTTACAGCCATACGCTGAGCACGTCTGAACCATAGCTGCTGCCCGAACGACACTCACTGAGACCCGGATTGGCACTCCACGAAGCTCCGCCACTGCTCCTCCTCACCTTCCACACAGGCTTCACTGCCACTAACAATGATGGCGGCATGGGTCACGTGACCGACGTCTTGCGGAGGCAGAGCTCGCTTCCAGTAATATCTCACGGTGTCCACCAGGGCGACATCTTTTTTTTTTTTTTATCACACTTTTTTTTTTTTTTATGGTTAGAATACATTTATTTTATTTTTATTTTTTCTTATTATTGTGATTTTGTATGAGTAAGCACATCGTGAGCATTGTACAATCCAGAGTCAAATTCCTCATATGTGTACACGTAACCTGGCAATAAAGCTGATTCTGATACATACAGTACTCTAAGAAGATTCTTTCAGGAAAGTGTTGCACATAGGCCCAACAAGAACCAGTTCATTTATTTTGTATACATTTTTGGGGAGATAAATGAGACTTGCCTGTAAGTGAAAAGATTTATTGATGCTTTATTTAAACGATTTTCATCAGATGTTTTTTGTTAATCTACTCAGTATTGTATACTACTAAAAAAACTAAAACAAAATGGTTTTTGTAGCTGTTTGTAAACAAAGATTTATGAGAGAAAAATAATTAGCTCAGAATTTGCTACAGATTCCACTGCTACCTCAGCACGAAAAGGTCAGATACCATTAGCTATACCCAGTATATTGTGGACAGCAACACTGGCACCAGCAGTGTCTGCTGCTAATGTTTGTAGATATTTTAACATGGTTTGTGACATGATGTAGAGGTGTGTTGCTCTTTAAGCCAGCTAGCACTAGCAAAGGTAACAGGAAAGCAAACTAGTTTTAATTTCAACAATTGTCAGAAAGAAAAAAAATGTTTGACCATTTTTTTTAAAGTGCAAAGGTGCCGATATTTTTGTTTGGGATTGTGTGAAGGCTCAGCCAAAGCATCATGGGAGCTGTAGTTGTTGAAAGCCAAGCAAAAGCGGTCATGATTAAATGTTGCTGTCCTGAGGCTTCAGAACTCAGTTTATCATGCAGTTTTCACATATAAAAAGAAATGAGGAATAGTTTACGGCTAGGGCAGGCTGATTCACGGGAGACGCAGTAAAGATGCGATGATTTCAAACACAAATTTTGTTGGTCAAAAAACAAAACTTTATTTATAAAAGAGTTGTTTTCAACAGGGCAGGTTGGTCTGAAGAGCTTTACACAGCAACAAAAGACCAGAAATACACTGGAAAACAAGTAAACACACAGCACTGATATGCAACTGTGGCGCGTGTGTATCATCAGCATTCTGTATAACATACTGAGTCCAGTAGTTGAGCGAAAAGCAAAAAAAGGCCACAAGGCTTTTAAACACTCTGTAGGTTCAGTTGGAGCAGCTGCAGACTGAAAACTTGACATATAAAACATTCACAGTTTATAAGCTCACAGCTTATCTGTGGTTGTCAAAGCGCACAAATCTGCTGAATTTATGACTAGGACGTCTTTTTTTTCCAATCTGCATGACTGCCCTTAGGAAGGAAACAACAAATGACGGGAATATTTAAAAAGAACAAACTTCTGATAAGGGACATTTTTTGTCAAATTCATACATTAACACATGAATGCAGCAATGTAACGGACATTAGAGAGGAAGAAATAAATAGACAAAGAAAGTTTTCTGGTGGGCCATCCAAATGAATTCTATATACAGGAATACTGCATTTCTTTTCCTGTTAACATTTCCATGTTAACATTTACAAAAATGATTGATCAAGTTTAATTAAATGCCTTCAACAAGTTCAAAAAGTAAACTGCAATCTGTTTTCTGCATTTAGGAGAAATGTCCACAATTTCTCACGACATGTACGAACATAACAGAAAAAAATCCTATTTTTGTTTCTTTTACAGAATCTTATTTTGATAGGTCTGTCCACCTTCCTGTCAGCTGTAATGCCATTTAACTTGAAAAGGTTCCATTCAGTGACGTTGATAGGTGTTTTGAGGAGGAGTCTGAGGTTGGTAAGAAGTACCTCCAAACTCTTACATTATATTTCAGCTACTTCTATGTTTTTCTGCAATAAACACACCATCTTTGGTAGTTCTCAGAGCTTTTAATTGCATCCCACAGTCTTCATTCTGCACATGAAGGCTCAGATGTCATCACAAGACATAAGTGTGGACTTTTGGTCGAGACATTCGACATTCACATTCAACGCCAGAGACCCTCTTTGAACCATGACCAAACTTCCATAGTTAGAGTAGATCATGCAGTAACAACTAACTTGGAGCATGAGATGCAGTTGAAAGCTCTGGAAAAGCTAATAAGTGGACCTTGAGATTTTCTTTAGCATTTAATGTCCCCCAAGGTCAAGAATGGACATCCACACTCACTGTCTGTCTGTCAGAGTTCAAGCCTCTCAGTCCCATCAGAGCATTTTTGGGGATAGAAAACTAAGAGTGAACACCTAAACCTAAAATCTTTGCATTTTTTTCAGTGCAACGGCTGATTAAACATTTTCAGACATCTTGGGTAAATAATGACCTAGGCCTGCAACAATAGACTATTCTCATTATCAATTAATCTGTAAATTTCAATTAAATTGTTTTTTACAATAATATATCTGAAAATGTGACTTTCCCAAGACCTAGGTGGCTTCTTTCATCCAGTCTGAACCTATTCAGCATTGTTGCCTTTAAACTGTAACAAATAAAAAGCCAATGTATAATAAAGTGTACACGTGTTTCAGTCCATCATCATCTGACCTCACATAAAAGTCTGCTTTGCAGAAACAGTCTGATTGAATCTCTTGTTTGAACTAAAAAGGAAAGAGACGCAAAGTGCAACAAAAGAGTGCTGTTAGTGGGGTATGTTGAATGTCTCTAAATACTAAAGTACCCAGAAGCCTCAGCAGCCATCGTCCATCCACACCTGTGAAATCACGTCATCATCATCATCTCCAGTTTTATAATCCTCAGAAGGCCTCATCGCTGCAGTCAGGAACAAAACAAGAACTTGATGCTCTCTCATTGGATGTTTCTTACAGCAATGATCTCTGGGACTCATAGCTGAAGAATCATTATGGACACAGTCTGTTACCTTTTGACTTTTTATCAGTAAAGGAGCATTTCTTCAGTTCAGCGTCACTGTTTGTATTGATCTTCATTTGCCGCAGACAGTCAGCTGACAGGGATGAAGCCCTGCCCGGTGAGCTGCTCTTCCTTCCAGCCTTGACATCAAAAAGCGCCTCATGGAATACCGCTCGTATTTTAGCGTCATCTGCCAATTCTGAGCATGCCGCTGCTGACCTACTGACACGTGCCCGTTACAAACAGCATGTCATTAATGTCATTAGTCATAAGTGGGCGCGAAAGCTCACTCTTGTACTGCGCAATCATTGTGTGACAAAATCATCTTAACTCAAGGGCTACTTACTAGCATTTTGTGACAACCAAGACAATAAATTCGCTGAAGACCATAAGATGAGATTGAAAGCTCCGGAAAAAGCCAGTAAGTGGACCTTGAGTTAAAACAGTATTGTCACACAGCATGTCACGGATGTCCACTGGGAAATAAAACAGTAATATTAGAATAAAATAAAGACTATGGCTATTTGACATAACGCACTAGCATCTAGTTAGCATGAATGGTCAACCCTGTGACAAGCAGCAATGTCCCACCTCCCAACGTAAAAACACTAGAACATATCATGAACCATTACAGGTTAACTCTTTTGCATTCAAACGAGGCTGCACTGATTATGCTAGCCAAGAATAGATAGGCATGTAGCTAAAGCTAGCTCCAATAGCTTATAAAAAAAAAAAGCAACCTTCAAGTTACAATTATGACTGAAACTCACTTCTCTGAAAGCTCTGATGTGTCAGACGTGTTGCTAATAATACAAAATGCCTGAAAGTCAAACAAATAGGGACACCTTTTCTCAGCCAATGAACACCACTCAAGGTGATGATACCCAAATATCATGGATGTGGTGTTATATTGTCAGCGGAGTACGTGACATGACAGCTATCTGAGACCCAACAGCTGGGATTAGTACTATTAGCAGTATTTTGGGATTCAGTAGATTAGCAGGGGCGGCCCGCTGAGAATGATCGCCTGACACTGAACCAGGAGTGACATATCCATGTGCCGCCTTTCGATGTCAGCAGCTGTCCAAATCATCTGTACGTCTTTTTGCAGCACCTTACTAATGTCTGTTTCTATAGCAACAGATAAGACTGTGACGACCTTGTAACTCCAGTTCTTAGTGTTTCTGTTTTGCACTTTAAATGTCGCGGGAGAAACAAACTGTACAAACTAACAGTTATGAGTCACTTCAGGTTTAAGCTGTTCGTTCTTCACATTCAAACTCGCTCTCTGTCCTCCATCACGGTGTGGATCTACTCCTTGTCCTCCTCCTGCTCCCCTGCCTCCTCGTCTTTCTGCTCCTCCTTGTCTCCTTCATCACCTTCCGCTGCCTCTTTCTCGCTGCCGTTTTGTCCCCCGCCTCCATCTTCATCACCGCCGGCCTCGGCCTCAGCTTCTTTGGACTCTTCTTCGTCGTCGCCCGCGCCCTGAAAACACAAACACATTTTAGACTTTAGATTTGACAGTGGGCCGCTGAAAGGTGCTGCAGTCATGACCTGTTTCAAAATCAAACAGCGGAAAGTTTCAGTTGACAGTGTTTAGATATAACGCTAAAAAAGGACAAGGCCCAGGGGAGATTCAGGACACTATGTCTTTAAATCATTAAATCAATACTTACTAACTTTTAGAACTCAGCCTTTGATCCGGACAGTTCCATCTTTCCAACTGACTAATCTTAGATTAAGCTTTTATGTGCACATTTTAGTTTCAGTCTAAGGTTAGGGGACTGTGTGTGCTGGAGGTCCAAAGGTATACCTGCTTCAGGCGGCTCCTCCTCCGGTTCAGGACCCGGGCCTTCATCCTTTGGGACAGCGCCAGCAGCTTGTTGTGTCTCTGCCTCTTCTTCGCCTTCTCCGCCTCCTCTTTCCGCTTCTCCTCCACATGGTCCGAGTCCGACTCGTCCTGCCGCTGCAGCCTGCTCCGCTTCCTGGGCTGCACCATCCTCTTCGGCTTGCTCCTGCCCTCCTTCTCATCGTCTTTCTCTTCATCATCATCATCCTCCTCCTCCTCCCCGGGGCTGGAGGACGAGGAGCTGTCGTCGCCTCCCAGGAACGAGCGCTTTCTGCGGGTCACTGAGCGGCTGTCGTCGCTGGAAGTCGCCCCGGAATCGCTGCGGTCCCGGTCCTCCTGCTCGCTGTCCTCCTCCGGGGAGCTCTGGAAGTCGGACTGGGATTCGGAGGACGAGGAGGAGGAGGAGGAGAAGGAGCCTTCGTCACTGTCGTCCAGGATGGAGGCGGGCAGGCCGATCTGGCGCTTCTTCGATGCGGCCACCTTGGTTTTCCGCATCGACGCGAACATTTTCCGCTTGTACAAGCTCTCCATGTCTGCACGCGGTACCGGAGACCAGTGACATTAAACAGAAAACTGGAAAAGAGAACCGGACCGAGTGTAAACAAGCTAACGGTGAAGCTAAACCACTTAGCTTAACGTTAATTTATATCGTCTGCGCGTCACAACGACAGCGTATTTTTTTCACAACATGGCGTCTGGATTCACCGCCATGCACTTTTATTTCAGATTCTATTCACGGAAACGTTCTGCCTGGATGTGTTAAAACAGAATTTACGAGCTAAAATCGGGACATTTCAGAGGTGTTCTTCTCAGTGTAGCTAGCTGTGTTATTGTTGTGGCTCACGCGTCTTCTTCGCTGAAAGGAATTGCAGCAGTGTTAGAGCGCCCCCTGCAGACTCCACGATGATAAAACCTGAGAGCCTTTATGAAATAGAATAGAAAAACTATGATTAAAGATGCTAATTGAAGCCAAACTAAGCTACAATGAAGAGCTAAAAATAGCCTTTACCAGCTACAGCACCCCCCACCCCCCCACCCACACACACTGTAGTGACCCACCTGAATGTGTTTTACTGTAGGTTTGAGAACTCACACCCCTACTGACCCCTCCACACCGACCCCCACACTTGTATGTATGTATATAGTTCTATGTTTATTTATATTCACCAATAAAGCACACATAGGCCTTTTCACAGAAGACATTTTGACATGTGACAGTATGAAAAGCACACGTGTAAATAATCAAATGAATCATGGCTACGTTTACTGTACGGTTTAGTCTGAAAGCTCTTATCAGCCAGCAGCAGCAACAGGCAGCCGCTTTCAGCAAACAATCTCTGATAAACCCACTGCACACTACTGCACAGCAGCAAACAGCCGACAGAGGGGATACTGGTGCAAGAGTTGGTGGAGGCCAAACAAGAGTTAAAAGGGAAGTGAATATTGGACTCACATTAATCAGGTGGCCAGAAACACAACACTCGCAACAGTCTGCTCTCAGATTGAACTTTCAGTGGGATTTTAATGTTAGTATGAATTTGTAACAGGTTGGTGAGTTTTCAATCCATCACATCATGAAACAGATAACATACGGTATTTATGAGACTGGAATAATCTCTACAGTGACTGAGAATACTGAATCAGTCCCTTCATCCTTTGACCCTCAGATGTCCTCTTACAGGTTCACCATCAGGACTTCTGTGCCAGGAGCGTGCTCAGTTTGATCTTCCCGTCCATGGAGGCAGTCAGGCAGGTGCCGCAGTCCACCGCCGAGCACCAATCAACTGTCACCACCGGCGCTTTGTGCCCACCCAATGAGAGCACGCTCTCCAGAGCTGGCTCCCCATTGGTCAGCTGAGGGGGGGTGAAAAACATTATTTAAATGAAAATATGAATTTTAAATCAATCAAGTGTTATAAAAAGTTCTTAAAATTACAATTTGTGAGTTTTACAAGTGAAAACATGACAATTACTGATCTTCATCCTGTAACTTCTTATTTTAAACAAGCTGAATAAAAAACAACATATCATACAAAAAGACAATTATGATAAATAATTAATCTAAAAAAATTACAACTTAAACTGACTGCAAACACAAATTTTAAAGATGATTTTTGAAGGTAAAACCAGAACAGTTAAGTGTGGATGAGAGGTGGACACAGGGTGATGAAGGTGTATTTACTGTGTATATGAGTCCTCCGGTGTTGGAACAGGTCAGGACATGTTGTCCTTCAGAGTCGAAGGCAAAGAGTCGACCTCGAGGAACCTGAACCTGAATAAGAGTTTATTCACAAATTAAGGCATTTAGACAGAGCAACTATGGAGGGAGTCTGGCTCGCATTATGTTCGGATCTTAGGTAGGTGTAAACACATCACACAGCCTACAACGTGCTGGCATCATCCATGCACAAAATAACCTTATAGGCTACGACTATTTTTGTTTTTAGCCAATATAAAATGTAGCAAGTGAGGAGGCTGAAAGAGACGCGCCTCTAATGAGTATGCATCTATTCTGAGCCATGAAAGCGCATGAAAACTCCTCAGATGTGCTATTTAACAGAACTGTGTGAAAAATGAAAGAATTACAGGTGGGAAGTGAATGATATACAGTAAGAAATAACAGCATGTGTAACGGTGTGCGTTGCACTCATCTGTGCTGCTGATCTGCTGTCAACAAGGCATCTAATTTATCTAGTGACAGAGTAGCTTACAAGCCATTACTGCAACACACCAGGACAAACTGAAACATTATTTTTCAAAGAAAGAAAGAAATAACTTCATGTTTTACATTTGCTGAATTTACAGGAGGGGAAAAATAAAAGTCTGTCATAGAAAAGAGAGATCTAGATCACTTTATGGATACAGATCGCATAACAGGTGTAAATGGGGGTACGGTAACAGTACTTACCTGTTTGTACCCACTGTACCCTGACAGGACAAAGGGCCCAGTGGCATCCTGAGGTAAAACCTGCTCTGACTGCTTCACTCCACACCGATGGATGTTCCACTGGATGAACTGAACACACACACGTTTATTCACTTAACTGAAAACTGCAATGGCGGTTTCTTTCCAAACATACAACATGCCCTGCAACAATAAAACATGTTTTAAAAAGTCCAAGATTGAAATGACACTTGTTGGATCTGTAGACATTCTGTGACCATAATGGGTTTTCCACAAAATGAACACACTAACACATACACACACCTTGCCATCTTCTCCGATGCTGAAGACGGTGTTTTCATCGTAGCTGAACTCCACACTGTAAACCTCTCCGTCGTGAGCTCTCCAGCTCATAGCGCTCTCATACCGCTGCATATCTGCAGGTGTAAAATGGAGTGTTTCAGGCGTCATTTGTGCCCACTGCCCTCAGACTATGCAACAGCAGTGTTATACTAGATTAGTTTTTTATATTCTATTTACAATTTCTATTACATTTCTATATGTATACAGATAAACACTAAGTATCATTAATTAACTATATTATATATTAGTCTGGTGTACACTGTTTACATATACGGGCGCTGTGGCACTATACCAGTACAGACCCTTTGCCATACGAGACTTGCTGACTTTGCTGCTACTAATCACATGTCTTTTATAGTTCGACATGTGATTAGTGTATATTTGGTGTATAGATATTTTTATTTCTGTTCTTATTTTAGTTTTATATACCTCTTATTATATCTTGTCTTATCTTAATATTCTTTGTTGAGAAGAATGTATCTCTAATCAATTTCATGTCAATCTTGCTAATCATCACATGGGATAAAAATAAAGATTTAACAGAGTGGCCGAGACAGTAATCATATGTCAAATTTGTTTACATCCAATAAAATAAATGCTATTTTCATTGTTTCAGGAACGGGATGGGACAGGAGTCCTAACACTGGGATTGGGAAGGGACAGGTTTATTTTTGTAGGAGAGGGATGGGACAGGAGTCAAAATCCCTTTCCGTGTCACTTAGTGATCGTAAACCTTCAGAGGAATCTATAATAAAAGTAGTTAGTTGTGTCCACTGACCAAACAGCCTGATGACTCCGTCAGCAGCTCCGGTCACCAGCAGGTTTCCATTGTGGTTGAAGGCTGTGCAGTTAATGGCTACTGGTTCTGGTTCTAAAGAGAACTGAAGCTGAGAGACAGACAGAACATTAATTATACACGGCCAATTCTCTGACCAAACTGTCAGCGGCCAAGTTGCGTTATAGGTAATGTAGGCGCCAGATGGTGACAAGAAAGAAGAATGCACGGAATAAAACAAAGTGGTTCTGATGCATTGATTCTGATCCTTTCTTAAAAACATTTTTGATACTTTTTATATTGTAACTGTACACTGTGTACATTGTCATAGTGCAATGCAAAATCAGTGGAGTACTTTTTCAACAGCCGGCTTACTACATATTAGCTACATAACTATTACTGAACTAGCTGGTTAATTACCTGTTGTTTGACCGTCTTGGTGTCCCAGAGCAGCAGCTGTCCAGACACTGGTATAGGAAGTCGAGGAACAGAATCGCAGCTCCCAGATCGACTGAGAGCTGCAGCTGAACAGACAAATGATGAACCGCTGGGACTGCAGGCTAAAGACAAGATACTGAGAGACAGAGGAAGCACACATTATTATCAGAATTTGTACTACAGCCATAAACATTTATTGCTACGTGACAAAATGTAAAACAAGTAATAGTTCCAGCATCTAACCCTAAAATCACAAACTGCCGTTATTAGCTAGCCTTTGGTGTTTAGTGAAATGTCTTGACAACCAAATACCCGCAGAACTAATGACATTCCCGTCAATTTCAGCTGTACTTAAAATGCTAGCATGCTGACATGCTAAACTAAGCTGGTGAATACATCATCTGATGCACCTGAACACGTCATCAGTGATGTATCCTGGGGTCACTGGGTGTTTCAGGCCTTTTAACATCAGACACCCTCGCCCAGGCGACCCAGCTGTGGTTGATCAGGCGGCCACAGCTTTTGTTCAGGTGGAACTCGCTTATCCCTATGGACCTCCCCTCCAGATCCAGACCCACCTTGAGGCATTCAAAACTCCGTTGGTTGTGTTCTTGATGGCTCTGCTCCTTGCAAACTTGTGATGCCCACTGCACTAAGGCTCGCACTCTTAGGTCCTGCCCGTGGCTGCTCTCCTGCCTTGACAAAAGCAATTGCTTGGGTAACGTTTCATACTCTGATCCCTGGCTGGTGGCTTTGTTATAAGTTTCAGCATGATTGTGGAGCCAAGTGTATCAGCTCTAGTCCGAGTGCTTTTGGCCAGGAGCTCAATCTGTGCTTCAACATCCCTTTAGCCGAGCACAGTGGGCAGTTTGGAGAACCCACTTTTCCCCAGTTAAAGAGGTTCGCTTACAAGATGTCGTACACTAAGTGATGCGGTGCGGCTCCGCCTGCCACAGATCTGTCCATGTGACTCTCCGGTCCATGGCTATTGCGACCCTTTGATGCAAAACCTGTCTATGACTCGGCCCTGCTTTTATGACTGATCTTGACTTCGCCAATTTGAAGCTCATCCAAGCCCACAAGATGAGTTTTTCCAGCCCTTGAATGATCCACCAGCTATGGACACTGCCTTCTGGCTATCTCCTTCCATTCAGTTCTCCACAGGGTCATTAGCCTTTTCCCCACAATGTTCCACAGCTCTGCCAAGGGGGTGGGGTGGGGTTCATGGTTTAAGGTGTTCTGGTTACCCTCTTCCTCTGCGCCAAACCTCTCTAGGGCTAGACTGGTGGTGATAGTTGTCATCGCCTTCAGCCTCTGCTCCACTTCTCCTTTCACAGACACTTCGAGCACTTTATTAGATAGGTCCTCCTAACTGCTCCCAAACTGTCGTC